CTCCCCACCGCCGGCCAGCCTGCCCAGCGGGAGATGAATGAGAGAAAGAGAGGAGAAAAGGAGAGGAGAGGATAAAGAGAGCTAATGATGTGGCGTACTGACATGTGGGGCCCATGTGGGTCCCGCGCTGACTCACCCGCCACGTAGGATAAAACCAGATTAAAAACCGCTGAAGGATGTAAAATGAACGGTTTTGTAAGTTATGAGATGTTATATATCTGGTTTTACGGTTGGGGTACGATTTTATAATTCAATGACAAGTTGAGGGACCTCCGGTGACAAATACGATGCCAAATGGGCAAATTGGGCCAGAAAACCAAGCACGTACCGTACCAGCTCCCTGCCTCCCTGTTGCTGCTGTTCGCGAGATGGACCAACGCCCACGGCTTATCGGTGCTGGTGCCGCTTACCTGATGCAAGCTATATCTATGGCCCAAGACCAATGGAGCCCAAGCAGCCCAACAGCTCTCCTCTAATCTTCTTTGTTTTTTTTTCTTTTTCATCAATTATTTCGAAGCATCACAGAGCTCCCATGAACTGCTTGAGATGTCTACCTCCGTGTTTTTAGTATACGACCGCAGTTGACTTTTGCATAGTTCATTTGACTATCTGTTTTTCATAAAATACTTATGACATACTCCTTTTTCCCATAAAAAAGTCAACATAGTAAAAGATATGACACCTTATTCTGGATAGCTAGATTGGTTTTTTATAAAATAGAGGAAATATATGCTAAAAGTATTTTTGAGGATAGATCTAGACGACGCCAATCAAGAATATTATCATAAACAACTCTATGGCATACTATGGTGAACCTTGAATCGAAACATTATTTTATTAGAGAATTTTAGAATTTTGTCTGGGTCGATTAACCCCGATGAAAAGATCTAGCTAGCTTCACCCTGTTTCTTTTCATTTTAAGTAATTTAATAAATATCATTGAAACTACGTCATAAAATTATCATATATACTTAAAAATATTGGTAAAATCGGAAGGTACACTAGAAAGTAATGAAGCCTAGCTGCTAGATTTGCCCCAGAATATCCTATATTTCTAGAAAAAAAAATCAAATGGTAGAAACAACGTAAATTAAAAGATTGTATGAAACTTTGTAATCCTGAGAATGATTTTCACAATACGTTTTTCTTTTTGCAAAATACTACAAATCCAGGAATTATATGTAAAACTTTCGTGCTTTTTGAAATTTCTGTAATTTTAAGAAAACATACTTTCCTTTTTTTTTTAACCCTAATAGCATCCATAGTAGCTCATCAATGTCGAACAATCCAGCCATTCAACCCAACAATCACTATAAAAAAACGACTTTTCTATACAAGAACCCTTACTTATAGGTTGCAAGCGGATCGCAACAGGTCACGTCCGCAAAAGTCAAATCACCATTTTCGCATACGGCTCCTTAAAAGACCCGTATGTAAAAATCTATTTTTACACGAGGGTCACTTAGGGGCTGCATGTAAAAATAAGCATATTTTTCTATACAGTGCTCTTAAGGGACCGCATGCAAAAATAGATTTTCGCATGCAGGCCTCTTAAGTGGATCGCATGGAAAAATACCTCCCTTCTCCACAGATATTTTCTCCCCTCCTATCTCTTTTAATTCTCATAACTTCAAAATTTTCAACTCTTCTCCTCTCTCTCTCTCTCTTCCTTTCCTCTCCTCTCCCTCCTCTCTCTCTCTTTTTCTCCTCTCTTCGCCTTCTCACCGAGGGGTAGGCGGTGTTGGCGCGTGCGCGAAGAGGGCTGGCGGCGACGGCAAGCGGGCAGCGGCCGGCGTGCGGATCCGTCACCCTCCAACCTCGGGAACGGGCGGCCAATGGGCGGATCCGTCATCCCGACCTCGGGAATGGTGACAGCGGCAGGCAGTGGAGGCGGGAATCAGGCTGCCTGCGCACGGATCCGCCGCCCCCGACCTCGGGGGCAACGACAACGTGTGGATCCACCACCCCTACCTCGGGAGCGACGGCGGTGCGCGGATCCGCCGCCCCCGACCTCAGGAGCGGCGGGCGACGATGACAGTGACGGGGGGCTAGGGTTTTGGATTTTTTTTCACCAAATTTATTTTCACATATGGTTGGTATTTATGGCCGCAAAGATTTTCGCATACGGTTGCGCTGGCCGCATAGAAAACTTCAAATTTTACAGACATTTTGGTGCAAGCGGGCCACTCATCTCCATACAAAGATCAGATCTAGCCGTATGGAAAAACGACTTTTGTAATAGTTAACATTATTGACCAGCATATATGTTATTAACCAACAGCTTTTTTTATTTGTTTCAACCAAAATTTAAATCCATTAAAAGTTCGTTTTGAAAGTATGTCATAAAAGATTATATAAATTTTCTATGTTTTAAATGATGGTTTATGCTTTACAGTATGCTTAAAGCCAACAGTCGCACTGATTCTTACTAGGCTTAAGCCGTTCACAATATAATGTTAAAATATATAAGAGACATTGTATAAAGTGACATTTTGAAGTGTGTAATCATGCTAGAAATTATGTTCGGAGCTGAACTTACCAAAAGTTGCCATAGATTTTAATCTAACTTGTTTAAGGTGTGCCTAATAAAATTGAAGCCACAATTTAACTAGCAAGAGAAAACCTTGCTATACTTTTTGTGCTATTGACATGTAAGACCAATTTGATGAAGAAGAAAATGTCCCCCAAGTGTGGCTATGAATCAAACACATGGCTAATATGATGTGACCATCAAGTATATACATACAACGAAGCATGAGAAATATAAAACATTGCCAAAGAATACATCGGATAATTGGAGAATCTACGAGATATTAAAGTCTAATGAGTTTTGAAATCCAGTTTGACCTCTGGAGACAGTACTGACTTCAAACGGACCTAACGCCTTTATGCCAATTTCGATTTGGGTGATCTTGGACTTCGTGGAAAGCTTATCTCGATACCTTTTAAACGCATCCGGTCTCATGTCCAAATTTATCTCGAGTCAACGGGAATCACCAAAACAAGCTAGTGCTGTTACTGAAACCGAACTTGGGCCTTGGGCCTTGTAATAAACTAGGCCCATCTCGAAAGTGTCTCCCTCCACCTCCACGAATTAGCACTTAGCCCTAGCTTTATTTTCCTCTATAAATAGCTTTGTACATCCTCAAAAACAATTGGGTTTTGTTTAGTTGAATTTTGCCAAGTGCCATTCACCTTGTCTCTAGTCCTCGTTCGATTAGTTGGCGACTATTGGTTCAGAGCCCCCAATAGTTGGTGTGTTTATTTGCCGGGTCGATTAGATCTACCACTTCAATCGCAACTATTCCTTTGTGCTTAATTACCTATTCGCAATATTTAGATTGCATCTTATCTTGTTCTTGCAGTGTTCTCTCGTTTGCATTGCAGGAATCATCAACCGCGCGTCACGGTTGGTACGACATCGTTTGTGGTGTAGCAATTGTACGGCGTCCTGGACTTATTCTGGTTGGTAGCCACGTCGCAAACGTCGTACTCGATCAAAGCGAGAGTTATCCCCTCACCAGAAGATCGGGCCACAAGAGAGAGCGTCATCAGTTTGGTATCAGAGCTGGGCCCTTGTTAAGGGGGTGGGAATGATGAGGACATCCTCCACTATTACCCGCTGGCAAAGACGCAAAAGTCGGACGGCGACCGTGCGAGCCTCTGAATAATCCCACCTTGCATAGCTTGGGAGGAGGAAGCCACCTTAAAAGGGAGAGCCACCCTTCCCCTATTGGACTAGTCTTTTAGGGTGATTGGGCCTTTCCCCGAGTAGGTGTGCCTATGAACTGTTGGGGTCCGGGCAACCTTAATTTGTTGGGCCTCGGCTAACCCTATATGGGCCGGATTGTTATCATAATATGGTCAAACATCACACTAAAAAACAGCTATAGGTGCTAGTTTTCCCAACCGACACCCATCCTTTGAGATTCTATGAATAAAAAAAAAGCTGGCTCGATGAAGCTCTCTCCATCTTTATCATTTCTAAGATCAACATCATCCCCATCAACCAAACACAATCAAAATCATCAGCAAAATCATCCAAACACAATCACAGTCACTAGAATCCCCTGGCTTCCCCATTGTCGTGCCGTCAATCTAGTTGAGTTGTCCCTATCGTCATGTCAGCCAGCGACGGACAGGAGGTTGCGCCCCACCGCGGTGGAGAGGGGAAGAGCAGCAGTGGGACGCCGGGGAGAGAGAGAAGAGGCGAGGGACGGAGAGGAGGAGAATCGCCGTTGTGGGGAGCCCATTGCCTCCCCTCTCGCTAGATCTGGCGAAGGAGAGGGCGCTGCCACTACCGCCGCCTCCCCTGACCAGATCTGGAGGAGGGGAGCCCGCGGCCTTCCCGCTTGCCGAATCTGGTGGAGGGAAGAGCGTCGGTGCTACCACTGCTCCTCTCTCGTTGGATCTGGCAAAGGAAAGCCCGCCATCGCCAGTGGAAGCCGCCGATGCCATTGCCTCCGCCTGATCCGCCGCCGTCATCACGGAGGCCACTGCATCCCCTCCCACCACCTTCCCTTTCGCGCAGATCTGGTGGATGGGAGGATGTGGCCGCTGCCTCCCCTCCATCGGATCTGGCGAAGGGAAGCGCATGGTCGTCGCCACGAGAGAGACGTTAGAGAGAGATAGAGACGTGAGAGAGAAAGAGAGAAGTGTGGGAGAGAGGGAGGGCAGGTGCTGACGAGTAGATAAGGTCGGTGCTTGGCTTGCTGGCTCGGTTCGTTTTGGTAGCTTTTTCAAAAAAAACGACATCTACAATATGGTGTCGGTTTTTGTCAGGAACCAGCACTTCCAGTTGTTTAAAGGTGCCAATTTTTTCTATTTTCAGCAAATGGAGATGGTAAAACACTACTATGTGTCAGTTTTAACTGTTTAGGTACGTATAGGCCCGATCTCTAATTGTTTTTTTATAGTGCTTGCCTCACTTGAGGTGTGAAATTGTGGCATATTATTGTTATCAACAAAAAAAACACCTAATATTTTATCAAACCCCGTTCTAAAAACTAAAAAGTAGCATTTCATTCATTTTTTTTCCTCAGGTAAAGCGCATACGGCATATCCCCTGTTCATAGTTAACACGAAATTTAACAACAGACAAACAAACAGTACGTGCGCTGCAAGTAGTACAACTACCTACTAGTACAACTTTACAAATCGACACAGGCACACAGCTTAGCTAGCCATACAGCCATATTAACAGGCATCAACACGTACGTACTGGAGTAGGTAGGACTACTAACTATAACTACGCAGCATGACAACATACGCATATATATACATACATACATACACACCTGCGACGTATACACAACCACGTACTAGTAGCTAATTTCAAGTACAAGAAAATGAGATGAAGTTGATGGTAATCGATGAGATGGAGATGGATGGGGAGGATTCAGGGGCACTTGGGCCTCTTCCTGGGGCCGGCGGTGAGCATGTCGCGGTAGCAGGGGCACTCGTCGCGCGTCGACCCACTCCCCGTGGGCACGCAGTTGCACTCCTCGCAGCACAGCCCGCACGACCTCAGGCACCCGCTCCCCCGCCCCCTCCCCCTCCCGCACCGCACCGCGCACTTGCTCCCGCAGAACCCTGCAGCAAACGCCAATTTGTAGGCAACGGCACCACGCACGCATCGCAAACTCACAAATCGATCGGTTACCTGAAGCAGCGTCGCAAGGCTGCGGCCACGAGGCGGCCGCCACCACCACCAGGAGGAGAAGCATTAGCAGCGCGGCCCGGCGGGTCTTCATCGTTCGTCTTCGAACACACTCACGCAACACACACCTGAGACCAGCTCTCAGCTCGATCGATCTGCTCTTCTCACCTTGCAAGCCAAGATGGCTAAAGTCGTGGAAGGGGAGCAAAGCAAATATGCAATGCAGCTCAGGTCCGGAGGAGTACTAGTACAATTACTACTATCCCACATAAAGAGGCCGCTGGGCGCTGTGGGTCTGTGGGCAGGGAAGCATCTGGAGAGCGAGCGACGTGTCGAGCAGCTCGCGTGCCCGGCCTTGGCCAAAGGCGCCGGTGTGGTGTGGCCCACGCTTGCATGCTACTACTCCTCCAAATGTTGTGCCTGACCGGAAACGCTCATCGGTTGCCGCACCGCAACAGCGCGTAATCCGGTCCGTGAACGAGGGCCGCCGGATAATAACGCGCGCGTGACGCGTCCAGCCAAAAGCCCAAAGGTGTTTTCATCAGTAGACGTAGCGTACGACCGTCCGTCCCCGGTGGTAGCTACCTACTGTAGCATGAGACGGTACGGTGTGAAGTGCGACGCGACGCGCGCGGCCGGCGGCACGGGTTCTGGCACCTGCTCTTCAGCTCGTGGTACCTGCTGCGCCATCCGGCTTTTGGTCGCGTCGCGTATCGACTACTATTATTGGGAGTTACTACCACACCAACGGTCCAAAGCAACGGACGATCGATGTGGCAACCGATCGCGTGCCGTACGTCGGCCTATAGTAACTGTACAACAGTAAGAACCAAAAGCTCAGGAAGGATCGACGGTTTTCAATATACGGACAGTGTATTCTCTCGTCGCGGAGATTCGCGAACTAGACTCACCTCTAGTCGGCTCCGCCCCGATTACGATGCTAAGCAGGCGTTATTGAACAACGGAAATGTTTGTACCGCTGGCAGAGGTCGTTTTACTCATTTTGCTCTTCGCAAGGGAGTTGGAGCTTTATGGCTCCCATATTTCCCATCGATTGAACTACAAATAATAAGACAGCCCTAAAAGAATTAATGAGTTCTACTTTTATATTTGTATTAAAACTAAAAGCTAGACGTATAGATTGGATTTAGTCTTATGTTTATAGAATGATATATATGACATTGTAATTTATGTTACCAAATTTTTCCGCCAATATTTTAGGTGTTATGCAGAGTACGAGTGCATAATAAATGCTTGAGTTGTAAACTAATTTTCCCTACTGCTAAAGCCACACGGAGTGGTTTAATAGCTCCAATCGCCATTCACTGTCTCACGGCTCACCCCTTGAGTCCAAATAAATCGATAGGGTGGTGAGGCAGGATAGAACGAAGGTTAATGGTCAATACCTCAATGATGATGATTCATCAAGAATGTGGTGACTAATTAGCTATTTGGAGGTTTATGACGTCATACACTGCACTTATAGATCAAGAAATGGCTAGATCAAGAAGTGGCACTGCAGGATGATAAACAATAATTTTGGATATTCCATCTGTGCCACAATGTAATTAGTTCTGGGTTTAAATAATGTCCCAAATCTTATGACTTAAGTTCTCCTTTTGCCACTAAACTACCAATTCTTCCCCTAGAGTATCATCATCACAACTCACAAAAGAATGGCTCCATCCTCAATCCATCGTCGAGTAGATAATAAAGGCACACTAACAATAAACTGTTTTCAAGAAGATTCACGCCCCTCATCAAGGTGCACAGGTTGAATGGTAACTCTTCTATTTGATACAATAATCTCGTATGTGCACTCAACAAAGGATAAATCATCATGTTCTATAGCGCGCATGCTCTCTCTCTAAGCCAACCTATCGGATGTGGAGCAGAGCATGAATAAAGGAAATCAGTAGTCGTACATAGCTTATATATTAAGTACATTGGTGGGGCGAGGTGTATTCATTTGTGGAGGAAAACAAGTGAATTGCATGTGAAAGCACGCTCTACGGAAACATGGGACAAAGTTTGTAAACCTAAAAACAAAGAGGAGCATTTGCAATGTCAAAACATTCCAGTTTCATTGAAGCATTTGCATAAATTTTACAATACAAAAAATCTGCAATAATGGGTTTGATTGGTGTGGCTAGAGGTGAAGACGGGGCGGGTACGGTCGGATCACAACATTCCCATATCTTAACTCACATCTTACTTTAAATTCAGAATCGGGTACAGGTAGTATCGGATAACCCATCACCCATCCCGTATCCTATCTCATATTACTTTTATCGAATCGGATTCGGGAACAAATATTTTTTTATGTCCACTTCATGGATATTTAATGTAAGAAGACAATTAAAGTGCTAAAAAAAGATACATCAAGGAACAAATTATATAATATTACATGTGAGCTCATAAAAATAGTGATTAACTAATCTTTTATCATGTTTATAGGTGAATTTAAAATAGATTTTCACATATGTTTTATAATATGGGACATACGGGCGGATACAACTCTTCCCGTATCCTAACCCATATTTTTTACGGATTCAGGTTAGAACTCGGATAATATCGGGTATTCCGTTTTCTCTCCCATATTCCTCCCGCAATCCTCAGGTCGGTCAGGCGGACGGGAAATATCCGCCCCGTTTTCAGCCCTAGGTGTGGCAGAAAGCCACCAGAAGTATTCCTCAGGATCTCAACCGCACGTGCTTGTAAAGAAAAGGGTTCTTTTTGGGGAAGTATACACATATCAGAATTTTACTAAGTGATGTTGTGAAGATTTAGTCCTTGAATGGTTGAGAAGGAAGAAAATAGCAAACCCAAGACTAATTGTGGAAATACGGCATCAAGACTCTATGGTAAATGTAATTTTTCGATTTATTGAGTCTATGGTTATCGTACTATTGAGGGAATGCCACGAATTAGCTACGATTCAACCTTAATGTTCAGCGAACAATTTTTAAGTTTTCTTTCATTTGGCATCCAAATATTCAACGTGTCGGAATTTCCATTTTTCGTATGAACTAAACTCTCATATTATCACTTATCAAAAGTGATCGGAATATTTGATCCAGTATCAGTTTTTCCGAATAACTTAATTCTATGTTTGCGCATAAATTAATTGTTGATTGAAATTTCTGTTATGCTTCTCAGAATATCCGATGGATTGGACAATCTGTCTTTCAAGGGAACTGAGCTCTCTGTTTGGCTCAACGTGTTTTATTGGAATATTCGACTTAGTATTCGGAATATCCGATCGTCTGCAAAAATAGCGAGGCGCCTATAAATCGGGCATTGTTCTATCAACTAGATCGGAATGATTTCACTAAGTAGATCAAAAATGTTTCAATCGTTTAAAAGGCTGAAACACAACCAAATCACCTTATGAAATATTTTGCTAGAACGTATGAAACAACGGTTTTTTAAATATGTTTCACCATATATAAAAACAATGTTTCAGCAAATAGCGAAAGAATATTGCAATTTACTACAACATTTTATCTATACATAGTGAAACAACACGAGTATACTTGCTGAAACATTATTGGTGGAATAAAAAAATGAAACGGATTCCTTCAACAGAGCATTTCCGTAATATGTGGGTGATTTGTTGGAACGGCACGTGTGGTGGGGACGGCGCGGAGGCGCGGCGCCCGATTTTTTCAGCAAGGCGCGGGCACCCGATGCATGCGCACCCGCATCGGACGACCGATTTAAAGAATTTTCGGAAAAATAGGTCTGATCTTTCGTGTTTCTTAGCTTATTTTTTCAATCAAAGTTTCCTATTATATCATAATCGGAATATTTGACATGTAGTTTTTAAAAGACCGGAGTAGGCTTTTATCCGTTGACCGTTAGGAGTGCTTTTGAACTGGTGGGAACTTTTCAAGAAAACTCTTCTGTTTCAATCTTGGATCAGGTCGATCAGACATATGTGAACTCTATCAGTATCGTGGTACTCCTCACATGTACAACGAGATCTGAACTGATCTAAAAGAAGAAGAAACAGCTGGAGCCCACGCCAGGTACAAAATGCTGCTGAACTAATTATGGATGATGGCTGCGCGACTTGAAATGCACGTTCTAATCGCGTGCGTGCAGGGAGAGATCTTTACATACAATATCCATCGATTGCGACAAACTAACACTCAAAACAAGGAATCTGAATGTTAACACACAGGATGAATTCAGAGCAATTCTGAGAGCAAGAAAAAAATTCTTAAAAGATGAATTCGGAGCAAGAAAATACAGGATTAATTCTTTCAGAGCAGTTCAGAGAGTAAGTTCTTTTTTTTTTTCAAAAATGAATTCAGAGCAAATTTTGAGAGCAAGAAAAAAAAAATCTTAAAAAGATGAATTCGGAGCAAGAAAATACAGGATTAATTCTTTCAGAGCAGTTCGGAGAGTAAATTTTTTTTTTCGAAAAAAGAAATGGATACAGCTTACACGGGGTGTTGGGAGAATCGAACTCCCGACCTCTCGCACCCGAAGCGAGAATCATACCACTAGACCAAACACCCAACCTGAACTTTGGTTTTTCAAAAATTTAATTGTACTATTTTAGCTGTAACCTACTGTTTGTCTTAACCTTTAGCACCAATAGCTACATTTACACGGTTTCAGCATTTAGTTCCTTTTGCCTCTGCTACCCGTTCTAAAATATAACAAACTCTTAGAATTTAAATTTTATATCAACATATAATATTATTCTTCTCAATCAATTGTAACCTCCCATCTCTTAATATTTCCACCTACCTCATCTCGTAAAAACGTAAACTAATCACAATTAATTTCCCGCGTTAAATTTCACGCACTTTCTTTTTACCCGGATCTAACCTTTAAACACCTTATATTTTGGGCAATGTAGGAGTAATACTTCTAATCAAGAAGGGGTTCTTAGTTAATAGCACTAGGTAATTGTTGCATTTCTGAATCTGTAATAATGGCATAGGTTTAAAAAAAAAACATCGGCAACGGCCAGTCGTTGCAATCTATCGGCAACGGCAATGTGCAATGCATGTCGATCTACAGACTACAGGTCAGTCTGTCAGTCAGAGTTAGATCGAAACATGTCACCGTGGGAGAGAATTGAAGACATGAGAGATCGAAGAGATCGATTTATGAGATGAGATGATAATCCGTGACGAGAGAGGTCACAGCATTTGGAGGGACGCACAGCTCATAAAGTGAATAATCTTGCATTTGATCACATTAGTTTCAGACATGCGTCATTACACGGAGTAACTGAATACTGTAATCAAATGCAACAAAAGGTTATCTGCTTATATACATCCCCGTACTTTAACTTCGACACCTGCTGCTCGGTCGGCCGATTAACTGCATTGCACTGGGTGTTCAATCTACCAACATGCAGAGGAGCAGATGGTCTGTGTGCCTTTGCTCCATTCTGTCTTTCTATTTCACTACTCATTAATCCATCAATTCACACATCAGACTAAAGAGTTTCAGGATATACAACTAACACTGGATAAAAAAACCTCCCCAGTGTTTCCATCTGCAGCCAGTTATAACGGCACAACAGCAGCTGCACTTCTTCCCAACAAACTGAATCATCTCCGTCCTCTGTACAGATACAAAATGGTCATCCCCAAACCTGTAAATCTCCTCAATTTTACACCAGGCATCATCACAAATGGAGGTTTTTCATCTAGTCATGTATGTCCTCTTCTTTATCATGTCAAACTGTTGGTATGTTTGTGCTATGAAAATACGGCAATACCCCGGAAGATGAGATACAGTAGGAACGAGACATAAGCAAGCACCGCTGCGAAGAGAACTAAGCCGGATAATAGGCCTTTCACTTCTGAAGAGAAGAAATCCAACAAGAGGCAGCCATTGATTATTATCGGCACGGATGCGACTGCCCAAGTTGCAATCTGCATCAAAGATGACAGAATTCAGAATGCTCTACATACATGTGTATCTGTAACAATTAGGCAAAAACTAAACCTACTGAAACAGTAATACAATTGGCATCTGCTGATGATACAGAATCATAATGCAAGATCTAATAGATATTACATAGTCTTGGATTTACATAGGCAAATCAATTTCAAACAAAGCAAGAAAATCCAGCAGATTTCCATGACATAAGTGAGACTCCATAAGAAAACTCAAATATCACCAACCCATGAAGAACCTATTCAGAAGCTTGCAACTTAACTGGTTAACTTTGCGGCATAGAAAGATCTAGCACTCATGATAATCACTAGAAATGCTGTAAGGTGTGTAGCTAAGGCATATAACCTACAAGTACACCCTAATCATAAAGTGTCATCAGAAGTCAGAACCACAGTAGTCCTATACCACATTGATATTTGATGACTGCTTATCTTGACAAAAGAAAACTCTTAAGTGATTTATATAGTTCAACCAATTTTTAGCCTAAAAAAGGTTCGACCAATTGTTGCTTGTCAGTCACAAGTTTAAAATTTTAAATCCTGAAATGTGTTGATTTCTTACAAACATCAACACATGAAGTACTTACTTGCGTTCTCGGACCTATCTTAAACACTCCCATTACTTGCTCCTTGGATACCAATGTTATCAATGGGATGAGTGCAAATGGGATCTGAATTGACTGAAGCACATTAAGCCACTCATTCAGAACATCGAGTGCAGAATCAGATGTGTTAAAGTATACAGCAACAGTTATAGTTGGCACAATCGCAAAGCTTCTCGTGATCAATGCTCTGATCCATTTTTTCAACCGCCAGTTCAGGAATCCACTCATTATAAACTGTCCAGCGTAAGTTCCAGTTATGGTACTACTTGTGCCAGCTGCTAATAGCCCAATTCCCCAAATATAAAGGATAGGGAAAAAATCTTCCCCAAACTTCTCTTGTAGAAAATGTCCAGCATTCTCAAGGCCAATGTTACCTGCTTCTTTGGTTCCATAAAACCCTTTTGCAAACACTGTTGTGACAAATAAATTTATCATGAAGGGCACTACCAACGCCATGGTGGATTCAATGGTATAGTACCTCAGCGCTTCACGGACTTGATATTCCTTGTGTGGATCGATCTTTCTTGATTGTACAAGAGCAGAATGAAGGAAAACATTGTGGGGCGTGATAACACATCCAACAAGCCCAACAGCTTGGCTTATCACTCTTGAACTCAGCCTAGGAACCAGAATACCTACAGTACATAGTTTACATCACGGTCAGCTCGAGAACAATAGTACCAGAGAAATGTAGTCAAGCAAAGGATGCAAAAGAGAGAGATACACACCAATAATTATGTCTTTCCCGTTAGGCTTAGTTTTAAAAAACATCCAAGCAAACGACAAGGCCATTGTTGCTATCAGAACGGCAAATACAGCTTCCAACTTCCTCACCCCATAGTTTTCCAGGGAAAGAAAAAAAAAGCTGATGAAAAGTAAAGTTAGAAAGGAGTTTCGTAACTGTAGTGGAACAAACCCAATGATTCTTCTTCACAAAAGAAGAAGAAGAAGAAGAAAAGGAAGAAATACTACCATTAGTTGTTACAGGTGCTACATGCATTTATTCAGATCATATGCAAGAATGTGAACTCGATTTTCAGTTCTATTCGTATACGACAAGTCAACGTTTGGCCTCATAATGTTGGAGACTAGGGCTGTGTTTAGATCCAAAATTTGGATCCAAACTTTAGTCCTTTTCCATCACATCAACCTGTCATACACCCACAACTTTTCAGTCACATCATCTCCAATTTCAACCAAAATCCAAACTTTGCGCTGAACTAAACACAGCCTAGATAATGACTCTTGTCTAGAAGTTGTCTAGTATTTAAAATATTCTAGATAAAAGTAACTACTGTACATTTGAAAAATGCAGACAAATAGTTTCGTACGTGTGCTTTACGTTCTGAAGTTTAACAAAATGCATGTATGTTTTAAAAAATTGGGAAAAACATTAGGAACCTTTTCTGGACTATCATTCAGTGAACAAATTAGTTTTCACAATTCACATTCACCACTATGTCCATTTGTTATATTGGAATCACATGTAAGTGCATAAGCATAGCTAAGCTAGACCAGGACATAAAAACGGAACTACTGATTGTACAAACTGAAACTTGCTCGATCACGCTTAACATTTCGAAACTTATTAATGCAGCGGCATCGCCATTTTTTCTCTCTGTTTTTTAAGAATCACACTACAAATATGCAATGACCTAAATCTCAAAATTTTGGAAATATTGAGATGTAGTAACAAAATCTCCCGAACATCTCATCGTTTGGACAAAATGCCTACCAATGTTCGATAATTGGAAGTTTTGAACTCACAATGGCATCTGATCAAAAACCCAGAGAAAGAGGCGACAAAGCTTACCAATCCAATGCGGTGATGACAACGCCAACCCAGATGGGCAAGAAGCCGTTGCTGAGGATCTTGATGGCAATGGCGCTCCCGATGACCTCCTGGATGTCGGCGCTGACCATGGAGACCTCGGCCATGAGCCAGAGCGCGCGGCGCGCCCAGTCCGGGTACTCGTCGCGGCAGAGCTCGGCGAGGTGCTTCCCCGTGGCCACCCCGAGGCGCGCGGCGAGCAGCTGCACGAGCAGCCCCATGGCCGTGGCCCAGAAGAGCAGCCAGAGCAGCGTGTCTCCGGCGGTCGCGCCGGCCTGGAGGTCGCCCTCCAGGTTGCCCGGGTCCAGGAACGCGATGCTCATCAGGAACCCGGGCCCCGTGAAGAGCCACAGCTTGCGCCACGAGAAGGGCGGCGCGTGACCGCCGTAGTAGAGGTGCTCGTCGTCGGCGTCGGGGTCGTCGGGGTCGCTGGAGATGGAGACGACGATCTTCTGCGCCGGCTCGAACGCGCGCTCGACGAGGTCCTCGTCGGAGTAGGCGGAGAACAGGGACGGGTGGAGCAGGGAGCGCTCCTCGGCCGCCGAACGGCTGCCGAGTCCAGCGCCCGCGGCGCGCTCTCCCGCGGCGTCGGCGTCGGCGGCGGCGGCGGCGGCGGCGGCCATTGGACGAACAGGTGACCCGAACGCGCGAATGGTGGTGCCCCCCCGTCTGCCCGCGCGTGCTGCTCGTGGCGCTAATCAAGTGGTGGCTACCTCCGCTCCGCTCGTTTCGGCGGGCACCTATTTTTGGTGGAAACGCATGCTTGTTTTAGCCTCTCCAATGCTATCTCAAGCCATCTTCTCCGGCGCCGGCAACACGGGGGACGGCCGTCGAGTCGTGAGTCGCCGAAGAAAATTTGAAAATATACCGTCTATTTTTTTCTCTCACAAACATCCGAAATGTTATTTTATTCGCACAAATATATCGTTGATGTTACAGTGTCGCATGATGACGCGAGACCGCTTGCGCGCGGTGAGTTCGTGAGACCGAGTGGTCTCGCATACCCAAGCAGCGATACCGCTAATCACTGATTAATTATCTTGATTAGTGATTAATCTCTAATCATTCAATTACCAAAACGCTCTTACGAGGTCTCGTGCCGTCTGCTTGTGAGACCGTTTGGTATCGCGTCGCTGCCACGCGACACCACGGTCTCGCGTTATCATCGTGCGAGACCGTCGCATAACAGTTACCATAGAATATTTGTGCAAAAAAATGCATCAAAGAATATTTCTGAAAAAAAACAGAATTGCTATAAATATAACGCTATATTCCTTCCGAGTTTACTGTCGATTTTTTTCACCGTGCAATTAGTTTAGAGATTCGTTCATGTCCGGTTGGCGCTGGCGTGGACGAACGAAACAGGTGGACGGCGTCATCCACGCAAATCCACCCACACACGGCCGGTCCAACCGCGGCCGTCCACGAGTTCGCGCGGGGGTGGCCCACACGTCAGCGACGCGGGGTGTGGGGGGGAAAACCTTGCGAAGGGTAGGAATCCGAGTCCAGCTTTTGCCACCACACCACCACAAGAGCTAAAGAGGCCTATCGCCACCGGCGCGCGCGGCCCCGAGGGAAGCGAAGGTAAGGAATCGCTCGCGTCGCGTCGCCTCGACCCCCACCCACCGCACGCCGGCGACGGGAGGCCCACATGCCGACCGCCTCCTGCCTCCGCCCGCCGCTGCCCCACTCCTCCGCCGCCGCCTCCGCCTCGGCGGCGCGGGGGCTCCGCGTGCCCCTCCCTCCGCCGCCGCCGCCGCCGCAGCAGCAGCTGTTCCAGGCGGCGCTGCGGCTGCCGCGCAGGAGGCTCGCCGGGGTAGGGGTCGTGGCGGCGTCCGCGTCGCCCTTCGACGAGCTCTACGCGCGGGGGAGGCCCGCCCATGGCTCCTCCAAGGTAGTCATATTCCCCCTTCCTTGGTCGTATCGCCCACCCTCTGTCCCCCAATTGATTGAACAGTTCGATTGGTACTATTACCTGTTTATTTCTTTAAAAAAAATTCACGGGTGGTTTTTTTTGGGTATGGAGAGGTGATGCTTTCCATTTGCGTGCGCCTCAGATTTGGCTCGGTGAGCCCCCCTTTGTTTTGTTTGGCCCTCGCGCTGAATGATGCCGGGCGTTTGTATGAAAGGCTGGTGTTTTAACGCCACTAACTAGAAAATGATCTCGGCTGTGTGCAAAGATTAATATTTAGGTCTGTCTCCACCGTGGATGTTCATTACTTGTGATCAAAGTAAGGTTGCTACTTCCTGCGGATTCGAATACACAAGTGGAAGTTTTATTGACAGAGAGAGTCTGCTTCAATATTCTGTTGAGATTTCATGCTAGCCTCTGTTCTAGGCTTAGAAATGTGTGACTTACTATTCCAAGGATTCTGAATAGGTGTGGTGTGTTGTAAAGTAGTAAACCGGTGACTGCTGCAAGTCCAAATTTCAGATATGATTCTTGGTAGATCATTACAAAGAGTAGGCATTTAGCTACCTTAATTTATGATTGACTGGTATTTTAGTCCATGGTGTAACATTTTTTTTCCCTATTGTGGTAATGATAGAGTGAGAGAGATTTGTGTTTTCACCTGAAAGGGCATATTTGTTTTCACCTGTAAGGACACAGCCCGGTCTTGTTAACTTCAAGTGTGAGTTATGAAATAAAAGGTACAAATATGCAAATGCAAAGAATGGCAATTGAATGTTGTCAGCCTGGTTGATGTGCTGTGTGCTATATTGGTGAGGAACCATAAGCAAAGGAGCTCCAGAAATGGATGTATGGCCCTTATTTATATTTTAGTCAAAATAGTATTGATTGTTACATACATAATCTATATGTTTTTTTATCATATTTCTTTAATTCTGCTTAGGATAATTAACCTGCAAGTACTGAGTGACGCTAGGCCATATTGTTCTGGACAGTTGACATGCTAAGTCTGTGTCTGTAATGGCCTACCATGTTTGGATGTTCGTTGTTGTGTTGATATGATGTTGCACTCATTTCTCAAACTATCTGTTAGAATGAACAATTCGCCATCACTAATTAAATGCAGAATGTGAGCTAGGGAATGACAGTCGTGATCTCATGAAATGGAGTTAACAATATGATTTTCCTTGGGTTATTTCTTTCTGAATGGAGTAGCAGGATCACCTCTCACTTGTCCTATGTGCATGAAACATGATCATCTCAGGTGTATTATGCATCTGAAATGCTTGTCATGTTCAAATTGGTGAAGGATACATTGCAAAACTTATGCTTTGTTCAGGGATTTTTACATGAAGAAATATCTGCGTAATCTTATTAACTCTCATCAACAAAACTTAATTCTATTGGGAATTGTTTTGGTGATTCTATAATGCTGCATTTAATGGTTATTTGTATGATCTGCTTGTAGAAATCTATCCTATGGAACTTGATCCAAGACATAGAGCCTTTGGATCTAAGTGTCATTCAGAAAGATGTTCCTCCTGAAACAGTTGATGCAATGAAGAGGACTATCTCTGGCATGTTGGGCCTGCTTCCATCAGATCAGTTCCGTGTTGTTGTAGAAGCCCTTTGGAATCCCTTCTTCAAGTTGTTGGTATCTTCAATTATGACCGGGTATGTTTTTAGTTGAAGGATACCTTTTGTGTTATTTTTAAGGAAGTTTGAGGTATTGGTAGCTGGTCAAATAGAAGTCAGAGTCAACATTGATCAGCTTTCTGAAGTTCTAAATCACCATTGAATGACCTCATGTGAAACTTCAAAAAAAAAAAACTCTTTTTGTTAAATAGTGAAGAACAATTGTGTGTGGACAGCATATACTGAAAATGCATGTATTTAATAATTTGTGTTACTGGTACCCCTGGTATATTATTATTTTTTTAAAGGGGTCTCATTTCCCCCTGGAAAGTGATATTATCGTGCCTCTACAATACCATGTTGATTTCCTGGTTCTTTCTTCTTGGAAGTTGACAATTGACCACATTTTTTAAATGTTGTAGTCGTGCCTCTACAATACCATGTTGATTTCCTGGTTCTATCTTCTTGGAAGTTGACAATTGACCACATTTTTTAAATGCTGTAGTCCATCCTGCTTGTATAGCTTCTGTTTGCATGAACTGTTTGAGGTTAGTGTTCTTTATTGTGTAATTCACTGCTGCTTGATGTGGCTGGGATTCCTTGTTTGTACTATCCAGGATAGAATACATCTCTCATGTTTAGTTTTCTTGATAGCGTTTGAGTTGGTAGTTAATACCTGACCCTTCATTATTTTTACTGCAAACTGATAGCAACCTGCTTAAGAAGGTTTAAAAATTTCGATTGCCTTTCCATCAGATCTACCGGCTTATATGATACAGACCTATCTACCATGTGGTAACTGATAATTCTTGTAATAATTTTTATAATACTTATATACTGTATATATGTAATTGCTGAGATAGCAAGAGCATGTCTTATTTTAAGCATATATTGTCAGTAATAATACTGAATTGTTTATTTATTAATGTGTGTGTACCTTCAACAAGAGCGCAGATCTATGCATGTGCTAGGACCATAGGAGGCTTTAAGACTTACTAATTAATTCATCTGTTCATCCAGGTATACTCTGCGTAATGCTGAATACAGGCTCTCTTTTGAAAGAAACCTAGAGCTTTCAGAAGAAGATTCGGAAGGTCAAAATAGAGATATCTCTGAAGACAATCATCATAACATCAATTTGGGTAGCCCTGTCACAATTTTCAGATTATCTGAAGAAGACATGCTACAAGACACTGAAAAAAATGATGAAGAATTACCATGTGAAACTGTGGGGGAAGATCTTGGTAACTTGACACCTCAAGCGGAAGATTACATAATCCAATTGCAGTCTCGATTGGATGCCATGAAAAAGGTGATTGAAGTTTCATTCTTTGTCTCCCTGACTAGGTAGTCGAAATAGTGGTGGATAAAATTTGTTCTATTTTTTGTTATTATCTCCACCATTCTACTACTCTTCCCAGCATCAGTCCTGAAAAGATCATCAAATTCATTGTTCGCTATCTTTTGGGAATTGTTTATGTATTAACTGTGTTAATTATGGCTCGTTTCTCCCTGCTCTTCATTTTGTTCATAAGTCCTTTTCACAACCAAGCCAAATATCAAAATTTGCTTGTAGTATATGTAACTTGTCAGACCCTTCTATTTTTCTTCTGTAGCCATTAGTTATTGCAAGTCATTGCAGATACATGATTTAGTATTGTGCATATGCACTAACCAAATTGCACCGGCAGTCTGAAATATTATGATACTCAAAACATCATAAAGAAGTCTCCTATTTTGAGATTTTTTTTTCTTTGCTTTGCCCTGTTGAGATTTTATCTAACATTCATTATATTTTGATTTTAAGTAGATTCGCAAAACTGTACTACAATTGCCAAAGCTATCACAAGACCATGTTTTTACCAAAAAAAATAAATTCAGTGAAGGGCACATTTTGTTGCAGAACATTTCAACAAAACTACATAAAACCCAGCAAGCCTCTGACGTCCCAGGGCCAGTCAATAATGTTACATGTGGGCTGTTTCTGTATCTTGTTACATGGTGTTGGTTGCAAAACATAAATAATTCATAAAAAAAAAGTGTAGTTTTGCAGTAGTTGTGGCAATTCTTAGTGTAGTTTTGCAAATGTTACTGTTATATTTTTCTTCAGTTGTGGAGGCATACTGTGCATGGTGTACATCAGCATCATTATAGTTGCATTCCGCTTGTCTCACAGACCTTTAAGCCTGACGTCCTGAGCGCTTGTGAAAACAGCAAGGGATTTTGCAAAGCGACACGCAAGAATTAATCCATATGCTAAAGTGCATGTTGCTTTCTAATTCATGCCAATGTTATGAAAAATATCTTGTTTGATAATTTATCTTCTGACGATATGCATTTTCTCAAAAAAAAAATGCAGGAATTGCATGATCTTAGGAGGAAAAATTCTGCTCTGCAAATGCAGCAGTTTGTTGGAGAAGAAAAAAATGATTTGCTGGACTATCTAAGATCACTAACACCAGAAAAGGTTTGTTCTATGTTGACACTCTTGAAAACTTCTGATGTTACATTTCAATTGCTTAATGATGATACATTGTTGGTAATATAATTTTCAAACCCACAAAACAATAGATTGATGTCGGGTTCCCTATCTGTTCAATGTCCTAACTAGCTGCTTTGCACAGGTTGCTGAACTCTCAGAGTCTACCTCTCCCGGAGTGCAAGAGGCTATCCACTCCGTGGTGCATGGTTTGCTTGCAACTCTTTCCCCCAAGATACACTCGAAGGCCCCTCCTCCACTAGGTAATGCTTCTGGGGGTGTACTGAATCTTGGGGGTGAGGATGATGACTGTGCAGAGCTTGTGGAGAATGCATCCCTACCTTTTCAGCCCCTAATA